ATAGGTTTCTCGAGAGTTGTAAAAAAAAGAAATGGAAAAGGGAGCGAACACTCAGACAGGTGTGATCTTCTTCCGATGGATTGCAAAGCATTAGAAACTTTGAAAACCGGTCCAATATCAGAGTGGCAGCGGCATGCCGCATCGCAATAATCTTCAAAATTCTGTCCCGGTAACGAATCTAATCAACAAACTTTATTTTTTGGTAGCATTTTAAGGCATACTTGATTTGAGCAAACAAAGTTTTTATGCGGAATTTTGTATGTAAAATTATTGAAAAGCGCGCAACTTGGGCTTGTTCCAAGTTTTTTTTCCGCTGCTGTATCTTTCGCTAGTCAGAAGATTAGACGGCTTCTCTTGAATTACATTTGCGAAGACTCTTCCCCAAGGAAGGGATTTTTGAGTTCCATAGTGGACCTCTGTTACAGTCATACTGAGAAGTTCAGATAGCGAATAATATTCTGTCCGAAGAAGCTGTCCTTGGTTATGAGTTCGGCTTCTCCCTGGACCATCCACGACGGTTATGCGTATGGGAAGCTCAGTTTGGAGATTTCTTCAACGGTGCTCAGATCATTATCGATACCTTTTTGGCCAGTGCGGAAAGTAAGTTTCTGTTACATGTTGGTAGTGCCGCTTAAAAAAAGTGGTTGGGAAGTGAATGTGAGAGTAGGGCAGTCATTCTGCTATTCCACGTGTTTTGGGCTGTATTATGGAGCACAGTCATCTGCACTTGCGTATACCATGCTGGGTTCAGCATCGTTGGGAAAATCCCATCAGTGGGTCATACATGGTCGCTGGGGAGTGGATGTGGTATCTACCTTTGACAAAATTTTTTCGGGCCGTGAGAAAATTTTCTGCAACTGTTGACTCCTTAATTTTACCCGTTTCATTTGCGCTACATCCCACCCTAGTCGCTTGCGCCACAGAACTATTATCAATTTTTGAAGATGTTTCATCACTATAGCTGGATTTAAACACCACAGGTAGTGCTTCCAAAGTTATCGCCAGAATACTGTATTAGGTGCCTGGAAGCCTTGACTCCGGGCGGGACTTTGAGCCATACCGACGGCTTTTATGCCGTCAAACTTTCACGCCTCAAAGGATGGCGCACTCGTTCGGAAAATGCGAGGTACGGGTTGCCATAACTCAGCGTTCTGGATTCTACACCCACACCGCTCCCACCACCGCCCCTCCCCATCTTTTCCCCGATTGGCAACTGCAGTATTTTGAGAAAAACTGAAAAAGTTGTAGAAAGGTGGGAGAACTTTGTAACATGTAAGGGGATCGTACTAGATGGCAGGTCGTAAATTAATCTCATTCGCGCAGTGCAGCTTGCGTTACCTTCAGTCATAATCTGTCCTACTGAAGAGCAATACCCTGTACAATTCTCATAGCAAAAAACGCCGAAAATTCG